ACAATAAAATAATGTCAGGCATGAAATCCAAACTCCAGTAATATTTCCTGAGTACAAAGACAGGTTTCCTATTTTTTTTTCCTTAATAAAAATACATGGTAATTGCTTTGTCTTATTTAGCAGATTGTCAGGGATGGAGGGGAAGTAGAAATGAAATAGACAAGTAAAACTAGTTCTTAATTATGTGTATGTTTTTGCAAAAAACTTTTCTTTTCAAACTGGTTAATTTTTGAAAATAATAATTATGCTATCTTATAATATTTCAGTCAGACAAACAAAACGAACTTCAGAACTGTTTTTTGCCAATTTGAAACACCTGACTGACTGCCATTCATTCACCAGCGAAACAAGGCACAATATTCAAACATTTTTAGAAATACCTTTCAAACTAGAAGGCCTCACTGGTCTAAAAAAAACAACAACAAACAAACAAACAATAAACAAAAGCAGACAAAGACTCCGGTTCTCCCCTCCCGACCCTCTAAGACATTATCAAAACAGCACAACAATGCCGTAACCACAGACTGAAAACTTGAATCAGTTCCCGGCCAGCTAGTCCGGTACATAATAGACGCTGAGCTGTTGGCATGTCTTTGAAGCAAGCCGCCGTGGTTACAACATACGCAGTTTGCTCCGCTTGTCTGAGCATTTCACCAGATGGCACGAGCTCACTGGATGTCACCAGACAATAGGACAATAGACTCGTTAACGTTAGGTGTGGAAACCAAACTCCAATAATATTTACTTTGCATAAAGACCTGCTTTTAATTTTTTTAAAACAATAGACAAAGGCAGGCCAAGACTCCCGTTCTCATCTCCGGGTCCTCTAAGAACGTGTCCAAACACTACAACAATTCTTTAATCAGGGACAGAAAACTTCAATCACTTTCCTGCCAGCAAGCTGAGTATATAAGGGACACTGGTCAGTATATGGTCACTTTTCTCTGAACGTTCCGAGGATACGCATCGTGGGTGGAGACTCTCATCGTTTTCTTACATCGTTTGGCTATCATCGTTTTATACATCGTCTGTGGTGTCTATATTCGATTCATACATCGTTTGTGGTGCTGTGGTGTCTATATTCGATTTATACATCGTTTGTGGTGCTGTGGTGTCTATATTCGATTCATACATCGTGTGTGGTGCTGTGGTGTCTATATTCGATTCCTACATCGTGTGTGGTGCTGTGGTGTCTTTATTCGATTTATACATCGTTTGTGGTGCTGTGGTGTCTATATTCGATTCATACATCGTGTGTGGTGCTGTGGTGTCTATATTCGATTCATACATCGTTTGTGGTGCTGTGGTGTCTGTATTCGATTCATACATCGTTTGTGGTGCTGTGGTGTCTTTATTCAATCCATACATCGTTTGTGGTGCTGTGGTGTCTTTATTCAATCCATACATCGTTTGTGGTGCTGTGGTGTCTATATTCGACTCATACATCGTCTGTGGTGCTGTGGTATTTATATTCAATTCATACATCGTTTGAGGAGTCTATCGTCGATTTATACTCATCGTCTGGTCTTTTTTGTTTTGCTTAGTTTGTTTGTTGTTTTCTTAATTCTCTACCGGAGGAATACACATTATTCTTTTGGAGTCGGTCACCGAAGTTGCACGTCGCAGCATGGATGCCGTTGAACAGCACGACGCTTTTTTCAACTCCTTCAACCTGGTGAGAGGCCCCTGTCTAGGGAGTGGCGCCGTAGGAGAGGTTGTTCTGGCCTCGGCTAAACACAACTCGTCGTTGAAAGTTGCGGTGAAAATCGTAACTTTTGAGACGGAGGGGTGTAAAGACGACTTTCTCTGTGAAGTCGGCTTCCTGCGCGATCTTCACCACCCCCGCATCCTCAAGATGATAGCGTTTGATATGGATGATCACCACGGCTTCATGTTGTCGACATACTTCAAGAACGGCACACTTCGCGACACCATGTCGTCCGACCCCCCTGTGGAAGAACCACGGATCCTCCGACACATTCTCGACGTGGCCAGCGCTCTGCAGTACATCCACGGTCTCCACATCTTCCACCAAGACGTCAAGCCGCGAAACATTCTCTTGGATGACCAGGATCGTGCTGTTCTGGCAGACTTCGGACTGGCAACACAGGCAAGCGACAGCTCCGCGATGGTGATGAGGTGGGAGACTACACCCGGCTATTACGGACCCGAGACAAGGAAAAGGCGGCCTATGAGTCCTTTCAAGGTAAGAATGAGTTCATTTTTTACCTCTCTTTTTGTTTTGTTTTCTTGTCTTTTAGATCTCCTTTAACCTATCTCTTTTTTTCTTAATCTATATCTTTCCCTCTCTCGCTCTCTATCTCTCTCTTTTTCTCTCTCTCTCTCTCCTCCTCTCTCACTCCCAACCCCCCTTCTCTCTCTTTCTATTAGTATGTGTGTACCATTATGTATACATAAACTGATGTAAGACGTGTTTGTGTTGATATAAATGTATGCATATTTAAAATGATGTAAAGACTATTAGAATATATTAAATCAT